CAGCAATGGATGCTCTGCAGTGAATGGGTGCCGTCAGAATGAGAGTCCAAACAGCGGATTCGAACCGGAGCTCCTCGCCTCTCAAGTACGTCTCCGTACACCACGAGCTACCGAACAAACCTAGCGTCTATGAAAACCCATAGATATGAAGCTGGATATGTGCGGCGCTAACATTCAAAAGCATCAGTTTTCAAATCTCCCAGCATATTAAAAATGTTTTGAAGTCACAACATAATACTCTTCAAGTAATTGTGCGAAAATTACGCTTTATTAATCGAAACTCTGTAAATCATACTTTGTGTGAAAATAATTTAAAAGGTGTCGGAGTTTTACTGCCTCTAGTGTTCATTTCTTTTGGAAACTGCAGTGATGTGTACTTATTGGTACGTATTTCGCGTCTCGCGAAAAAGTGATCCCAGGTATGTTTTTGCCATGAGACCGGGTAGGATAAAAACATCACAATAATCCGTTTAACACAATGGTTTGAAGTTAAACACATATTAATGCTGGATTTGTTTCAGCTTTTGTCTTCTCCAGATGTTAACTGATGGACTGGAGTGCTGTGGATTACTTGTGGATTATTGTGATGTTTTTATCAGCTGTTTGGACTCTCATTCTGACGGAACCCATTCACTGCAGAGCATCCATTGCTGAGACACTGATGCAATGCTACATTTCTACAAACCTGATGAAGAAACAAACTCATCCTGATCTCGGATGGCCTGAGGGTGAGCACTTTTTCAGAATATATTCATTTTTGAGTGAATTATTCCTTTAAGCATTATGCTTTAATCATATTAACCGTTCCTGGTTGATCCAGTCCAGAGTCTGCAATAGCAATAGTCTTTTTAATCACCTGTCAGCCACAGCCAATCAGAACAGATTGAATCAAGATCCCCAGAGATCATACATCACCAGCTGACAATATGACAGATGACTCCCTGTTCATCATAATTAGGGTGCAGTCGCATGAGCGATGATTCTTAACATGGGCCTTTTGAATAAATGCAAATAACTAGTAAATCACTAAGAATTATTACATCAAGCATTGCTGTCTCTGTTACGATCACTTCCTCTGTTTATCCACAGCTCACACACACACACACACACACACACACACACACACACACACACACACTCACACACTCACGCATGCACGCATGCACGCACGCACTCACACACATGCACGCACTCACACAAACACACAATCACACACACACACACACACACACACACACACTCACTCACTCACGCATGCACGCATGCACGCACGCACTCACACACATGCACGCACTCACACAAACACACAATCACACACACACACACACACACACACACACACTCACTCACTCACGCATGCACGCATGCACGCACGCACTCACACACATGCACGCACACACACACACACACACACACACACACACACGTGCTCTGTAGACTTCAGCCATATTATACAAGGCACTTGTTTAAAATAAATAAAAATATTTGAACGTTAATTGATATGTTATGTAGCCTAAGTATCTTATTTCAGCAAAACAAAGATTTCAACATTATTATTTTATTTACGATGGATGTTACAGCAAAGAACACCACTGAGAGCATGTTATAACATCTAAATTAACTAGTTTTATTCCAAAAGTATATGTATATATTAATATATTCAGTGAAAAATATCATTTAACATCAATTTACACAATTGAAAGTATTTTTCAGGTTCAAGATCAGGTACGAATATCCATATTTGCATTTCATTTTACATTATTTATAATAATGCTTCATTTTAACCAAGTTTAATTGAGTATTGATAATTGTTAGCTTTGTAGATAACGATATTTCGTAATAATAGTTGGTGACGGTGTTGTCATGGCGCTGTTTTTGTTGAGGTTGTTCATAACAGCGTTTTACTTAGCAATACCTTCGTTTTTACTAACAAGAATTCACGATTTTGTGTCTGACTCTTACTTTATTCGAACTAAACATGTAAAAGAATGTCGTGTAAAATAGTTTTTTACCTCATTTCTGATCTCGGTGTGTTTTCAGCACCTTGGACAAGAGCGCGAAGATTAATAAGAAATAAGGTGCGGTTTTTTTTTTCTTTCTTTCCTTTTCTTTTCTTTTCTTTTCTCTTTTTTTTTTTTTTTGCGCGCTGCTGCTGACCTTTAAACACAGCAAGGAGCGAGTGTTTCTTCTTAGGTTAAAAAAACTGCTAAAATGCTTTTTAAAAGTTTAACTACTTTTAACTTGCCAATAATATTAAAAACAGCGCGACACAGGCGCAACACGAAGAAAAACAAAAACAACAACAAAAAAACAGCGACGCTCACACCTGTTCTTGTAAACCACACACACACACACACACTCACTCACACACACACACACACACACACACACACACACGCGCGAGAACTGACAGCGTTCAGAATAACAGAAATCGTATCTGATGTGATTAAACAAGCATGCTTGGCATGCATATTGTGTTCAAGTATAACGCCATTATCAACAATAAATGTGTTTCTGACTTAATTGCGTCATTAAGAATCAACAGCGTCACAAACATCCGTCAAAACATGGATCTTTCCCCAATTAATGCACTCATAAAAATAGACAATTACATAATATAATTGTCATAAGACAAAACCAACCCGTTCAGGAATCACTTTACGCGAAGGACTACGAATAATTCCGTTTAAATCTGATTTGAGGCGTGTTGTGTGTTTTTAATTAGATTTTAGTTATACAATCAAAGACTTTCAGGAACAGATATATGATTTCGAGATAAAAAAAATTGAAACTTTTTTTTTTTTTTGCATTTTGCAAATAGTAAAAGCAACCTACTTACATGTGAAACTTCGCTCCTGTTCAGCTGTATATGTGCAAAAGTGTTCACACGTTTCCTCTGATCAACAGAAAGAGCCACAGGAAAGCCATGGTGAAAATCCCCAGCAATAAAAACAAGTTGCGCATTTAATGTGCCAAGTTCAGTCTGAAGTGAATCCACGCGGAAAAGACCCTTAAATCCCCTCTTTTTCACATCATCCTGAATGTCTGTCCTGTCCCTGTGCCATTGATCCGCAATTCCCAATCACAAACACACACACACAGACTCCAGCACATGAAGTTATGGCTCTGTGTCTCCTGGATGTTCATGTGTATCTCAGACTGAACTGATCTGAGAGCAGCAGAGAGCCAGTGCTTCGATGTAACGCCTCCTCCACGAACACCATCTGCTCCAGCCGCAAAAAGTGAATAAAGTGCATCATGTTTTGTCATATGGGTTGTTTTAGGTTTGTAATATATAGGCTAGGTTGTGTTTTTCTCCCTTTAAATATTATATTAAGCGCATTGTGTTCTTCAAGCTCAGGATTTGGGAGTTAATACAGAAATTTCATGTGTGCATGGCTTTTTTATGTAGAATGAGATACAGACTATTCATATGCATGCAAATTCCATTTCATAACTAATAAAATATACTCAGTGTGAGGTATAATACAGTGCATACGTCATTAATTATATAGGCGATAATACAGTGCATTAAATGGTTTTGCTCACACATATGGACTGGAGAGAAAGATAATTTGTCGAATTAGATAAAAATATGTCGGTGACTATGAAGTTTGCTCAACTAAATGTGGAATATGAGTTCATAACTCCATCTGTTGGTCAGAGAAAGTATCACAGGGCAGACTATGGTTGTGTTTCAGAAATCTAGTGAGTAATTTTAATTATGCATGTTCTTTCATTCAAATATCATTGCGAGAGATGCATCATTGTTTTGTTTTAAATTCACAATGAATAGTTTAAATACTCACTGTAGAAATGTGTTGCTTGCATCTTTTATTATTGAGTAGGCTATACGCTCTATTGTATGTGAAATTGAAATGTATTGGAAATAAGGGGCCAAACAAACTTGTGGTCTGTGCACAACAATGCCAAATGTACACTGCAAAGGTGGCACAGAAGCACTTCTGAAGCGGCATTTAGGTATCTACACAAACTGTTTAATGCGAGGTGGCATAAATGCATTTCTACAACCCTGTTGAAAAAAACAGCATATGCTGGTTAGGTATGTTTTGAAGCTAGGATGCTAGTTTGAGATGGTTTATGTTGGTCCTTTGCTGGTCCTTTGCTGGTTTCTGCTGGTCCTTAGCTGGTCATGTGCTGGTCCTAAACTGGTCCGACCAGCTTAAGACCAGCACATGACCAGCATAAACCAGCAAAGGACCAGCATAAACCAGCAAAGGACCAGCATAAACCAGCACATGACCAGCTTAAACCAGCAAATGACCAGTTTAAACCAGCAAATGACCAGTTTAAACCAGCAAATGACCAGCTCAAACCAGCATCCCAGCTTCAAAACATACCTAACCAGCATATGCTGTTTTTTTCAACAGGGAAAAAATAACAGTATACGTTGATACTATAGTGCCAAATTTACACTGCAAAGGTATACACTCAGTATATATTACTGTATTGCAAATAAGTGGCCAAACACACTGGTTTTCCATCGTCTTTACACTACAGAGGTGGCCTAGGACGTAGGCTGATTTAGACATTGATTTAACAGCAGACAACAGACCTCCCCATCCAACTACCCCAACATTTTCACATTTACGGTAGACTTCTGACCAGTTTCATGTCATCTAAAGTCTTTATTTATAGTTATGGTAGCTCATATGCATCGAGTTTTTATCTTAGCATATTAATCAGACAATAATAACAACACAATTTTGATTATGTAAAACCAACAGCATCACAGCAGTTGCTTTAAAGATATTTGTATTGTTTGACTAAACTCAAAAGAGAATATAGCAAAATATAACTTAATTAATCGAAATTTCACAAACATTTCACTGTCTCTAAACCTCTCTTTTCTTTATTCAGAGTTGACATGGAAACTATATGCAGATACTATATTATGACTCTAACGCTATGAATATGTGGCGTTCTGGCATTTATTTATAGTTATTTATTCATTCATTCTGTTCCCGCCTCGGCTCTTCTTGGCGTACCGGAAGTGACATCACGACGTCAACAAGTAAGATGGCGACGCATCACAGGCAGAATGCAGCGGGGCGCAGGAAAGTGCAGGTGAATGTTTAACGCTTGCGAGTACGCTTGTGATGTGCATGTGTGTTATTTGTGTGATGATAGTGGCATTCAGACTCATTGATCGTTGTGTGACGGCTGTTTCAATCGCGGATGTGAGCGTTTGTGTGGCGCACAGCGAGGTGGAGGCCAGGCTGTGTCTCAAAATCTAGTGTGCTGCCTACCATACTGCAGTTTTGAGTCAGGTGTTCAAGAATGCAGCATACTGGGTCTGTATGGACTGCTTACTGCAGCTCATTATAATATAAACAGGCTGTGTCGAGGTTTAGATGATCGTTATGGGCTGCAGAGTGAAAGATGAACCGGTTTTAGTCACATATTTAGGGTTTTAATAGGTCATCTCGTATCTTTGGTCGATGTCATGACAATCATCCTTCCTTAAGTATATGCATACTGACCATATATGCACATAGCATACTAAACAGATATGGTCATGTATGCATATCCCTATAAGCACATGCATAATGAGTATATAAAGATCTAAACACATGAGCGGATAAATATGAGCACGATACAAACTAAACAGATGTATATTGGAGTATGAGCACTTATAAACCCTAACTGTACTGTAAATGCCTGCATGCTGTACACATTATGCGTGTTTTTATCATGAAGGTGTGTTTAAGCTTTGCAAACTAAACATTTGATTTTGTGTGATGTATTGAACATTGTTGTTGTGAATGCTGCTTTAAATGTGAGGCACCTGAAGACATCTATAAAGGTGCCTTTCTAGCATACTTAAAAAAAAAAAACTTGAGAATGATTTGTCGTTTATGTAGCTTATTATTTAGAATGGGATGAAAATCATAATATATTCCATTGTTTTTAAGTTAAAGTGTTTGAATTAATTGTTGTCATGAAGTCACATTTATACTTGTATTTATTCTAGGCCTAGTTGTTCTGAAAAGTGTATATATATAATATTTAATGAAAATGAGTCAAGTAAAAGTTTCAAAGTTTTTACATGACTTTTACCATGTTGTATTTTTAGGAGACCAATAAATAACAATAATTATTAATCGGTTCCTTTGGTTTAAGTCTGATTCATAGTAGAGGTTGACCGATATTTGATTTTGCAGATAATGATAACTGAGGTGGAAAATAAAAGTACATTTTAATTCAAATTTGGCTGTTTTGAGATTACAATAAACTGAACAGTATTATGAACAAAAACTTGGAACTTAAAAAAAAAAAAAATAAATAAAATAAAATTGTGCTCAATTTTATTGCAATTAATAATGGCTTAACTTTCAGAATGTTTTGTATTTTTAAATTATTTTAATGAAATAAAAAATAGCTGTGCTTCATGACAGTTTTCCATTTTATTTTATTGCTATGTTTCTTATGAAAAGAGTGGAGAAAAAAGGATAAAAAGTAAATAAAATCAAGTATCAACGCAAGTATTTTAAATTGAATTTTATATTTATTTAGGCTATATTATACATTATATGTTGCCTCGGTCAACTACTTCATAAAGTGTATTTTGTAAGAAAAGAAAATTGTCCATTGTCTTACGAAGCAAGTGATCTGACAAATGAAAGCAAATAACCGGGGCATCATTTGTACATTTAAAAGGTTGATATTACTATTAAATTATAGTAATACTAGATCTGTTTAACAACATCACTTATGTTTATAGCAATAGCCCCTTTTAATGCCTTAAAATTAAATCTTACTGAATCTGCACAAATCATAAGTCACATCTAAAATGGCAAAATCTGCATTTTTGTCAGTGTCTGGTTCTGTGCCGATTAATCAGTGGACCTCTAATTCTAAGCATGCGTGTGTTGCAGGTGTCATACGTGATCAGAGACGAGGTGGAGAAATATAATCGTAATGGAGTCAACGCACTACAGCTGGATCCAGCTCTTAACCGGCTCTTCACCGCCGGACGAGACTCCATCATCAGGATATGGAGCATTAACCAGCACAAGGTAACCCGTCAGTCTTAAAACCTGTGCATGTGATGTCAAAACTAACCCGTCTGTCACTAAACCCGTGCATGTGATGTCAAAACTAAACCAAAACTACCCCATCAATCACTAAACCCGCGCATGTGATGTCAAAACTAACCCGTCAGTCACTAAACCCTTGCATGTGATGTCAAAACTAAACCAAAACTACCCCTTCAATCACTAAACCCGTGCATGTGATGTCAAAACTAACTCGTCAGTCACTAAACCAGTGCATGTGATGTCAAAACTAAACCAAAACTAAGCCGTCAGTCACTACACGTGTGTATGTGATGTCAAAACACTTCCCTGGCCGTTGAAATTACGTTCTTGCTCTTGCGTGTGTGTGTGTTTTGCAGCAGGATCCGTACATTGCATCGATGGAGCATCACACAGACTGGGTCAACGACATCGTCCTCTGCTGCAACGGGAAAACATGTGAGTGCTTGACGTGTACAGTGCAGTTCTAATGTTGTTTTATGAATGCAGTACAGATAGATATGTTTGTCTGTTGTGTCTGCAGTGATATCAGCGTCATCAGACACTACGGTGAAGGTCTGGAACGCACACAAGGGCTTCTGCATGTCAACACTGCGAACGCATAAGGTACGGTCATGGTTTCAATCAGCCTGATGACAAAATGTTACATGCACATCCAAACAAACCAGGTGCATGACCAAACACATCCAAGAAAGCCTTCAAAAAACATAGTAGACTAACTATGTGTTGACCCTTTATTTCGCTGTTCTGCATGGGTTTGCAGCCCATTTGTGTTTTCAATTAAATGCAAAGAGTTTCTAGTATGAATCTTCCAGTTGAATAAATGTTTTTTATGCTTTTCTATATTAAAGTGTGCATTATGTATGTTTCTATTTTTATAGTTTCTTGTGTATTCTTATTTTTGTGCAGGACTATGTTAAAGCATTGGCATATGCTAAAGACAAAGAGCTGGTGGCTTCTGCAGGACTGGACAGACAGATCTTTCTCTGGGATGTGAACACACTGACCGCGCTGACCGCGTCCAATAACACCGTTACTAGTGAGTTCTGATGTTAATTTTATATATATTTTTAAATATTTTCCCCCCAGATTATTATATTTAAATATCTGATATGAAGAACACATATTTTATTTTACATTTTGACGAGCAATCCAAACAGTAGTTTAGTAGACCCAAATTCGGTATTAAAGAATCAACAAATCCTAGACTTTAGTTTATGTAAAGGATCAATATTCTTTGTTGTACAGCGTCTTCTCTCAGCGGAAACAAGGACTCCATCTATAGTCTGGCCATGAATCAGATGGGGACGGTTATAGTGTCAGGATCCACTGAAAAGGTTTGAATCCGTAAATCTTTAATCAAAATGCATTTAACTTACTTAATGTGGTGTATTTGTCTGTGGAAAATGCATTGCAGAAACTGGGACTTAACTGGATTGTGATACATTTTCATAGTTTTCTTTTAATGAAGATCATGTAAAATTAGACCAGAGAGGAAATGTCGTCTCTACAGTAATTTTGTTGTACAGAGTTATGTACCTGGGCTGTGCACATCAATATATTGCGTTCTCTATTTCTCACAATTTTACCTATATTCTTTCGGTCTTAAAATTGAAATTTGTTATTTATACAAATGCCTAATGCTCTGACTCTCTTTGTGATGCTGGTAGTCTCAGATTGTCTTTGTTTTGTTGATTTGTTTGTCAGGTTCTGAGAGTGTGGGACCCGCGAACCTGTGCCAAACTAATGAAACTGAAAGGACACACGGACAACGTCAAATCCCTGCTGCTCAACAGAGACGGGACTCAGGTGCTGTCAGTCAGTCTGTCCATCTACAAACTAGAAACATTCACACACATTTTGTCAGTCAAACCCCTTTCGAGCCCTCTGAGATTTTAAGTTAACGTTTCAATAGTTTTCAAAAACAACACATTTACATGTTCATATGTTTTAGTGGCTATTTTATATATATATTTTTTTTTAATTCTTATTAAATTGAAATATTTTTAAATAGAATAGAATGTTTTTTTTAATTATTTTTATTTAAAAATTATTTTAATTTGACATTGATTTAATTAATTACAAGTTTTTAATTTACTCCCTGCAATTCCATCACGAACCACCAGGGGTGATCTTTCATAAATTAAAAAAAAGTTGTTTTGTTTTTGTAAAAATTTTAATCATTAACAACTTTTAATTAATTAATTTCAATGACCACAATGCATTTATCAAGCAGGAATTGTGTGCACTCAAAAAGAACAATGAGTTCTCAGGTGCATAGAGCAAAAAGGAGAAAAGTTTAGTCCAACAAGTCGCTGAATTTGTCCGCACACTGACATTTTTTTCAATCAGACCAAAAAAGGTCTCTCAAAAATGTAGTTTTTATTTTCCATATGCAAAAGTGAAAAAAGTGACAAAGGTGCAAAGTGTTTTAAAAAACAGACCAGAGGACCACAATGCATTTACTCATTACATTTAGTCATTTAGCAGATGCTTTTATTCAAAGCGACTTAAAAATGAGGACAATAGAAGCAATCAAAATCAACAGAAGGGCAATGATATGCAAGTGCTATAAGTCTGTTAGCTTAATGCAGTACACAGAGCAAGGTTTTTTTTTTAATCGTATAATAAATAAAAAGAAAACAGATAGAATAGAGCAAGCTAGTGTTAGAGGCCTTTTTTGCTTTTGTTAATCAGAAGTCAGAAAGTCAGAATTATAATTGTATAATAAATAAAAAGAAAACAAATAGATAGAATGCAAAAAGATTAGAGAAGCAAGTGTTAGTTTTTTTTTTTAAGAAAACAAGCAGTTAGTAAATAAATAGTGCAAGCCTAAAAGGGGCAAGTTTTTATTTTTATTTTTTTATAAAGAATAGAATTAGAATTAATGCATTAAATGCATAATATGATTGTCTGTTTATCTTTACGTTTTAATAAACAATATCTTTTTTTAAATTCCTGATATACAAGTTAATATGCATGCTCTTCAGTTGCTGTATGTATGCATTAGAACATTTTCATGTCAGTTTTTACCTTTATAATTCCCGATTTGTTCTTCACTTTTGAAGTAGGATCAAATCCATGGAATTTAGGATCGAATCGAATCCTATCCTATCATATGTGTGTTTCAGGCCTCAAACTCCTCCTTCCTCAAGTTTTGCAAGAGCAAACAGCAGTCTCATTCTTGTTTTATTGTCGACTGTAGAAGGTTTTAAAAGCCTTTGAGCTCTAAACGAGCTGGTTTTTGTGTGCTCAGTGTCTCTCAGGGAGCTCAGACGGGACGATCCGGCTCTGGTCTCTGGGTCAGCAGAGGTGTATCGCCACGTACCGCGTTCACGACGAGGGCGTCTGGGCGCTGCAGGTCAACGAGGCGTTCACGCACGTACACACACACACACACACACAAATAAATAAATAAATAACTCTTAAAATAAATATATATATATCTCTATATATTAAATAACTATGAAATAAATATATAAAATAAACATTCCCATAGACTTTAAATCAAGAGTGCAAGTTTATGCGTCAAACACAGCTATTAATAGCCGCAGCAGCTGTGGAGCGTGAGCAGGTAATAGGAAGGAAGGCAAAGTTACTGAGGTGTGAATGTGTGCTCTCCTGTCTTTCAGATGGAGCTGGACCGCTCGGCTGATCCGCATTCGGCCATCTGGGTTTCCACCACAAAGTCCACGGTTAATAAGTGGGTAAGTGCAGCTGGTGTGGGGCGAGACGCGAGCGGAAACACCACTTGCTCCAGCCGCCGTGACGTTACACACACATCCTACAGCCGAGCTTTAAATAATCTGCAGCGTGTTCCTTTACTCATTAATTAGTGTCACCCTTCGGCTAAATATCCCGGGATGGGGCGCAGTGCTACTATCTTTAGGTAATGGTTTAATTTGTTGCATGTTATAGGTTGCATCTTAAAATGGTAGAATGCTTCTGTTAGTTATGCAATTCACACTTTTCATCTGAAACTGGAGCTGTGGGCAGACACAAAGAATATTTTCACAATTGCATTCACTGAATAATTATTAGATATGATGCATTAATACTAATTTGATCCTGTCAGAGTTTGACTGAGAAGCCTGTAATTTAAACGAGTTGATGGTGCAGCACATACAAAGCATGCAATGACTGTGGCAACTTTAACATTTGAAAGGATACTATGACAAAGGTATCGCTTTCTTTATTCAAACGGATTTTTTTTTCATGAATATATGGTTGACCTGAAGAATGAACGCTATATCATACACTTGGAAAATTATGAGCTATATCACCGCTTATCGACTCTAGGGGTGTGACAATACACTTAGCTCACGAGATGAGACAAAATACAGATACTTGGTTCACTAGAACGAGACGATATTTTAATACTATTTTTAAGAAATGTTCAATGACAAAATATTTGTCTTTTAATTACAAAAGTAAAACAATGCAGTTGTATTTTGAAATACATAATGTAATATGCCTATGCATAATATGAACATAACCAAGTACATTATGTATTAAAACGAATACCTGCAGAGGGCGCTAACGGCCTGGTGACGTTTCACTTTAAAGCGTGATTAAACAATGTTTAAATCCATTCAATTTTAATATTTGGCCACATGCAAACTCAGAAACTTTTATTTTGAAATCGTGATGTACAATAAATGGCATATTTAGACATAGGTTGATGTATTCTGCTGTGTTGGCAAAGGTTTTAAATGATTTACGTTACAAATCTAGTGAGATAATGCACACTGTTTTCCCAGATGAACGTTAAGCAATTCAAATTCACAGCATATGCAGAGGAAGAGTTTAGCCCCTTTCACACATACAGTCTTTACCGGTAAGTTACCGTTAAGAGATCATGTGTGAACAGGACCTTTTCAAAAATCCCGGTAAATTTGTTCTGGCGATCATATCGTTCTTATGGAGATGACGTGATTACTCTGAGCGGTTTACAAAGCTCCGCTGCTTTTTAATTAGCTTTTCTGTGTAAATATGCGCTAGATGGACATCTTTGAACACTGCGCCTCGCAGCTTTTTGTCGCGCTTCTCCATTCATCAGCTGCGACTCTGCAGTCGGATACTATTATGCGCGTCTCGTGTTTATAAGAGCAACACATTCTGATTGGCTAGTAATGTTAGTTTGGTTGAGAGTGAAAGCTGTGCTCCTCTCATACATTGGTTGGCGAACTCATGGACTCAGAAGTGATATCAACAAGTGTTTTTTTTAAATGTAGGATAATTTTTTCCCGCAGCCAAACCCTGCACGGTGCCGGAGGACTTCAAGCCCTACAGTGAATAGTTTTCTCTTTTGCATGTTAGTTATTAAAGCTTTAACATGTAAAAAAAAGAGGTTGCAAATCCTACAAAGAGACGTTTCGTTATGCTCTCACCCCAAAATTAGTCTAAAGGTTTTACAGAGAAAAATCTCTTATATTTTCTAAGTTAGAAATCTTCATACATCTTTGAATATGAGGTAAAATAGGATTATTCTCTGGATGCAAGTGAAAAATACTTAGATTATGCGTTCTAGATTTTAGTTGCTTTTTTAGTTACATTTTCTGTAGTCTATAGTAGGGTTATTACTAAAACCATTAATAAATAAATAAACAAATAATAAAAAATGTAAACAAGCATTTAACTGAAATAAAATAACATATATTAAAAAAAAAACCGTATTTATTTTATACATGTATTTTATTTCAGATACTTGAATTTCAGCTCAGCTCAGTACTTAAAGTACTAAAATAAACTAAATAAATTCAAACAAACAAAACTTATAGAATAGAAATTATTAAAAACTATTGGCATACAAAAAAAACTATAACTATAAAACTATAGACATTTTGTTATATATATATTAGTGCTGTCAAACGATTAATCGCATCCAAAATAAAAAGTTTTTGTCTACATTTTACATTTACATTTAGTCATTTAGCAGACGCTTTTATCCAAAGCGACTTACAATTGGGGGATATCAGTGATGCTAAAATAACACTGGTCCATAATTTGATTTCTCTGATATTGGGCGTTGTTTTGAGTAATGTCTGTGTTTTTTCCCCAGTCTCTGAAGGGTATCCATAATTTCCGAGCGTCTGGAGATTATGACAATGACTGCAGCGCTCCGCTGACGCCGCTGTGCACGCAGACAGAGCAGCTGATCAAAGGTACGGCTGTCTGCATGTGCTTCAGTCAGTCAGTTTTTTACAGGATCTTCACATACGTTTAATAATTAGAATCTCCATCAAACAGTGTCTTTAGCATGATCGTGTATTTTTCCTAATATAAAAGTTATAATTTATTTAAGTTATAATTAATTTTGTTTATTTTTTGTCATAATTAGTGTTTTTTATGTTTTTTATTTTAATTGATAATATTTAAATTTTTATTGTGTTTTATAAAGTGTATAATTTACTGTGTATATATAATAATAATAATTATTATTATTATTAATAATTACACATACACACATATTTTTATTTTAATTGATAATATTTATATTTTTTATATTTTAATTGTATGTTTTTATAAAAATGATAATTACTGTTTATATATTATTATTATTAATAATGATAATAATCACACAC